ATCCTTTCTGTTATGAAAATAGATCAGAGGCATTAAAAGGGCCTCTACAACTGTTGGCATTCACTCCAGGGAGAGAGAAAGGGGGATTACTGCCAATGGAACATGCAGATGGGAGTGATTTACTAAATAGAAAGAGTAATGTTCATCCCTCTACTTTGGTTCACTGCCTTCATCCAAAGTGTGTTGCCAAAGCAAGAGTTAAACCCCCAGAAAGGTATATTTATTACTGAATATCAGCCCGTAAGGGGAAATGAAGCTGAAACTGAAAAGCCAAAATTGCCCCCCAAAAATATAATTCACTGCTTACTCTTACCAGGCAAATCAATAGCTACAGCGCGATAGCCGTTCTCTGCAAGCAAAGCCAGTGTTCCTAGAGTCTCCCATGTCTTGGATGTGAAGGATTGGCCATGCAAGAAGATCACTGCCAGCCTGTTAAGAAAAAGAACTAGCAGCTAATGTCATCTTTTTTGTTACCATTCTGATATGAATAATGTACTAAAAATACTGTTAAGTCCCAAAATATTTTATATATATAGACAGGGGTAGGCAACCTTGGCTCTTTTATGACTCGTGGACTTCAACTCCCAGAATTCCTGAGTCAGGAATTCTGGGAGTTGAAGTCCACGAGTCATAAAAGAGCCAAGGTTGCCTAACCCTCATATAGTAAAACAAAATCCCTAAACTAATCTCAAAAAAGGAAAAGAAAAAAATGGTCACTTCGAAACAATTAAGTGAATTGGGGGTTTTTTTTGCACCAAAGTAATACTTGCCTGGAGTATGGTTAGGAAAGGTTATTTGTCCATGAGAGATACACAAGCAATGTAATTAATAAATACAGCTGGGGAAAACAGATGTGTATTCTATTGTTTATGACAATATTACCTGGTGGCCTTCAGATACTTTGCAATATAATGAATATAAATCTGGTAATGATTATTTCAATACATCCAATTCCCATCAAATTAAAGAAGACTAAACTCAAACAATTTGAAGACTTGAATAAGAGTTCATAAAATAACATGCTATATTATTAAAGAAATTAGATATATTTGGCAATCTTTGCAATGTTTCTTTTCCAATCTTTAAAAGGTTACACATAGGTACTAGTACAGAAGGAAATAAATACTTAGACTATCTGACAGAAAACATATTCTTAAATAACCTAATTACCACAATTACTCAATAATAGAAGTGTATGGCATTCTTAGAGAAATCATATGAAGTTCTAATTGCAAATAATTGCTAATTAAGAGAAAGCCATTTTTTAGAGATGAAAAGTGATGCTTTTACAAACTTAGAAAATGAGATTGCTTTGTGGCAAATGTGCTGAGAAAAATGTATTTAGGCCCCCTGCAATAATAATAATAATAATAATAATAATAATAATAATAATAAT